AAAAAAATTTTTTTAATTTAAAATAAAAATTAAAAACACCAGATGCCTGATGTGGTGGCAGATGCCTATAATCCCAGCACTTAGGATGCTAAAGCAGGAGAATTGCCATAAGCTCAAGTCCTATGTAGTTTAGGCTACATAGTTCAAGGCCAGCCTGGACTACATGGTGATAAACAAAAGTAGGGCCAGGGATTTAGCTCAGTGGTGCTGCCACCTGCCCCAAAAGTGCAAAGTCCCGAGTTTGATTCCCATACCAAATAAATAAAAAGCAAAACAAAAAACATATTGTCATTAATCCCTCCAGAATGCTCCTCCTTGCTTCAAATACATTTATCCCATTATTCTTACCACTTCCTGCAGCAATTGTGGAAGTTTTCTTTCCTGAATGTCATTAGTTGCTATAGTGGTTTTCTCAATGTCCTGAATAGACTCAAATCATTAACTTTCAGGGTCATTTTTTACTTTGGGGAAGGGCCAGAAATCACGTGGTGCCAGACTCGTTAAAAAAGTGGACAAGGACACACTGTAATGTTTTTACCAGCCTGCCTTTCATTGGATGGCACTCAGCTGCATTTACCATCACACCTCATAATGACACAAAAGAGAACTTACAGAACTGCCTCAGAAAGTGGCCAGGACGGTGGGATAGGTGTGTTCAAAGCAAGGGGGAGTATTTTTGAGAGGTATTAATGGCAATGTGTCTTTTGCTATAATAAATTTTTCTAAATTTCATTATTAAAATATATTGATCAACCCTTATATGCTAAGCACTGTGTAATAGCAATGACATGGTACAAAATACCTTTTGCTTTCAAAGAGAATATAGACAGAAATTTAATTGATTTTGAATTGTGACTACTACTAGGGCAGAAATGAATAATCAAAGAAATAAGAATTCTGGGAAGGGGACATAAAAAATTAAAATGTATTATGTGCACATACCAGAGACCCATGATGAATGTGATCATTATATACTGCAAACCTGTACTAATAAAAAATAAAAGTTTTTAAAATTTTAAAAATAAAATGAATTCTAACAGACTGTAGTCAGGGAAGAACTTTCCAAGATGCACTACAGCCTTAAGGATTAACAGTGCAACTCTGGGACCAGTCAGTCTAGGTTTGAAGACTTAATAGCCGTGTGATCTTGAGTAATCTGCTTAAGCCCTCTGTATCTCTTTGCTCATCACTATGATGGTGTAATAATGAGAGCTTGCTTGGGCATGGTGAGGACTGCATAAGTCAATGTATGTAAAGTGCTTAGAACAGGGCTGACACATAGTAAGTACTATTCAGAGAAAACAGTATATGTGTTTTAATATTGCTCTAAATATAATTTAGCATTCCGATGGGAAAAGAATAAGCTAAGAAGTCTCATAAATGTATTATATTTTTATTAAGCAAACTATGCTCAAATAAGGAAAATAATTAGGAAGGAATTGAATGATTTATATCACCCTACTAAAAGTCTAGACAAATTTTACCATTTACAATTTCAAATGTTCAATATCTACTTCTAGTTTTTTAAAAAAGTATGAAAATGGAGAAGAGAAAGCTCTCAATAATATTAAATAATTCTATGCTAATAATGTCACAATAATTAATATTAGAACACCAGACACATTTCCCATATGTCTTTTTTTTGGTACCGGGGATCAAACTCGGGTCCTTGCGCTTGCGCGCAGGCAGCGGAAACCACTGAGCAAAATCCCCGGCCCCCATTTTTTTTTTTTGAGACAGGGTCTCAGGCTGGCCTTAGACTCATGGTGATCCTCCTGCCCCAGTCTCCTGAGTGCTGGGATTACAGGTATTCCTCACCACACCCAGCTGTCATCTATTTTACTTGTGTCTGAGCTCATATTTCTTGGAATTTTATCTGTGATAATTCTTCAAGGTCTGAGTGAAATTTCCTTTTTTTTTTCCTGCGTTAAATTTCTAAAAGGAATTTTTACACATACTTCTACCAGTTACTTAAAAGATATATCAGGTCTGGGCCACTTGAAACTTAATCTCCCTGGGCCGGGGATTTAACTCAGTGGTTCCAGCGACTGCCTTGCAAGTAAAAGGTCCTGAGTTCGATCCCCGTCACCAAAAAAAAAAAAGAAAGAAAGAAAAAAAATCAAATAATAATTGATGTACACTAGAAGACATGACTTGATGATTTGAGGAAGTCTTCATGAATAAGAGAGATTTTTCTTTGAAACTGCAGAAGTTATATGGAAAACAAAATTTTTACAAACTACATTTGCAAATTGACTAAAACAGAATCACTTACCCAGACTGAATAAATTCTGTGCTTCTCACAGTAGAAGTAGTTTGCACAAACACAAAAAAGAAAGAGCCAGAGTATCTACAAGAAAAATGAGAGTGATCACTTCTCGGCCTTTTGGCTAAGATCAAGTGAAGAAAAATGAGAGTGGTGCTTTGAATAAAGGAGAGGCTCATTAGGGAGTTTTGTGTTTGAAGTCCAGTGGTTCTCAACAGGAACAGGTCCAGTGGTGCCACATTAGAATCACCTGGGGAGCTTTTAGACTATTATTCTACTCTTAGAGATTCTGAGTTAATTGGTCTGGGATAGAGTCCAGTTGCTGCTGGTATGCCTTAAAAACTGGTGTGTTTAAAAAAAAAAAAAACAGCTGATGTATTGTGTTCTAACATGCAGCTAGAATTGAGAACAACTGGTATTACTGAAGGAGTGAAGCCAACTTGAATTCAGATAGTTGCAGTGAGAGCTTTCATAAGAGGCTTGAATTACCAAGGGACCCTGAAAAAGACCTATTTTTCCATAATGACCAGACTACTAAAAATAGCTTACATACGCTTTGACTTATGAGAGGGCAACATCAAGATAAACCTATTGTAAATTGAAAATGTCATAATTGAAAATGCTTGTAAGCAGGGCATGATGGTGCACACCTGTAATTCCAGCACTCAGGATTGCTGAGAGTTCAAGATCACCTTGGGCCACATAGTGTGTTCAGGGCCAGCCTGGACTACATAGAAAGACTCTGTCTCAAAAAAAACAAAGAAAACACAAACAAACCAAGAAAAGGCTTGTAATGCACCTAACCTATCAAATATCAGAGCTGAGCAATACAGAATACTGTAGAGTATCAGAGCCCCCTTGTGATTCAGTGGTGACTGGAAGCTGTGGTTCGCCAAGGCTGCCCAGCCTCTCAAGAAAGGATTGTAGTGTATATCACAAGCCCCCAGAAAGACCAAAATTCAAAACTCCAGACTGGTTTCTCCAGAATTCCTATCACTTTCAAGCCATCACAATGCCAAAAACCTATAGCTCCAAGACCGTCCGTAATTGTCTTAAATATTTTCTCCGTATTCATGGAGAGCACACTGAAGATTATTAAGATTATTGCTTCAACCCTCAACAACTTAGAAAACTGAATAGGAAGCCGATTGGGGGTAGTGGTGCAGGCCCATAATTCTAGCACTCTGGGAGGCTGAAGCAGGAAGATCACAAGTTCGAGCCCTCCATGGGCAATTTAATGAGACTATCTCAAAATAAAGAAAAATTATTTGTGGGGGGGGGGTTGGTACCGGAGATTGAACTCGGGTCCTTGCACTTTCGAGGAAGGAAGTGGAACCACTGAGCTAAATCCCTGGCCCCTCAAAATAAAAAAATTTTTAAAAGGGCTGGGAATGTAGCTCAGTGTGAAGGCCCTGGGTTCAATCCCCAGTGGCATAAAATGCTTTGAGTTCACAAAATAAGAAATTTAAAAGGATTGAAATCTTACAAAATAAGCTTAATATGGATACCCTGAGCTCAACTTCCAGTACAAAAAAACCCTGTAATTACCATTCTTTATCTTTATGTATTCTGTCTTCCTAATACTCCAAAATTCCTTCTTTCGTCCTTCCTTTCCATTTAGAAAACTCCCTTTAGACATTCTTCTAAGTTGGAGTCGCTGGCAACAAATTCTCTTGGTTTACTGAGATTGTCACTGAATGCCTGGACCACACAGCCCTGGCTCCTGAGGTCCCAACAGATTTGGCCACCTGCTGCCTGCAAGATCCAATGAGAGAGAAGAATGGTGGTGAAACAGAGAAGGGATTCATTTTTGGCATAGTCATCTGGAAAGACAGCAGGTCTACTGAACTCCTAAGAAAACTGCATCCAAAAAAAAGAAAACTGCATCTGAGGCATGGACAGCAGCTCCAGGATTATACAGCAGAAGAACTACAGTAGGAGGCAAAAGTATGCAGCCAGGCACTCTTGGTCACACTGGGGTACAGTCCAGTCCCACAAGGTCACACTGTCACCAGGGAAGATGACTGCTTGCAAGGTTCGCTGTTCCTGGACTTTGAGAGAAGGTGGGAGGAAAACTAACTCAGAGAAAACAGGCCAGAGAAAAATAGAGTTAGTTGGGTCCATGACTGAGTCCTCCTTCACGTTTAAGGCAGTGACTGGAGCTAATGGTTACAAAAGCTAGTGGTTGCTGGACATGGTGGCATATGCCTGTAATCCCAACCATCTGGGAGGCTGAGGCAGGAGAAGTGCAAATTCAAGCCTACCCTGGGCAACTTAATGATTTAGCAAGACCTTGTCTCAAAATTAAAAAAAAAAAAAAAAAAAAGGGACAGGGGTGTAGCTCAGGGCAAAGGCCTGGGGTTCAATTGCCAGTACCACCAAACAAAACAAAACAAAGGTAAAAGGTGGTGGGTGATAATCTGTTGGTTATGATGTTCCAGTAAATTGTGAAAATATCTTACTCTTCTTATCTTGGTGCCTTCAGCCTTGAAGGGAGAAGAAAGAGATTGGATGAATGTAGGGCTCATCAACCTTCTATTATCAGTTTTAGAAGTTTGCTCTTTAAATGATTACCATGTCTATGTTCACAGTTGGGCAGGAATCTGACCCAAACTTCAAGGTAGCAAAGGAGACAGAAAGCGTAGGAAGGAATTGATGCCAAACTTTTATCCTGCTTGTAGTTGTCCTTCAGACATCTGCAGGCCCAAATGAAAAGTAAGAGCTTTCAGCAAAAGCAACCTTTAAGTGCCTGGTACATAATTCTTGACTTTACCTTCGTTCATGCAAACATTTTGCTAGATGTAAAGTGTTCTTTTCAACACTTGGATAGTTTCTATTGTTATGTCCTCAAACTCACTGATCCTTTTCATTTTTCTTTCTGTTTATCTATGAGCCTATATTCATCAAGCATTTCAATTTTGATTATTGTGATCTTTTAGTTCTAAATTTTGCACTTGGTGATATTTATTTATTTTTAAGAATTCCTATTTCCTTGAGACTTTTCTGTTTTGTTGTTTTGTTTTTTTACTTGTTTCAACAGTGTTCATAATTTCTTGCAGAAGTATTTTTTTTTGTATTAAATTCTTTTATTGGTACATTG